TATATTGTTTTGTTTTAATACCAATCGAATTTTATTTTCGAATTTATTTTTTTCTAGTCTACATACAAAATTAGGATAAATTTAAGTGTAACTAAAAATTGTTCGGATGCAAATATTTTTATTTTTCAACTGTTCTTTGCTTATTCAGAGCTAATAATTCTTAAAGTATCTAAGTAAGTTCTAATCTTCTAGATGTCTCAAAGTGATTTATGAATATTGAAAATAAAATTAAGAAATTTTAATGATTAGAAAACGTTAAATTCTGAAAACAGTGATTAAAAGACGATAAATTTTGGAATTAGTAATAAGAAAACGTTAAACCATGAAATGTGTTCTCATAAAATGGTAAACCTTGAAATGCGTTATCTAAAGATGGTAAACCTTGAAATATGTTCTCAAAAAATGTTAAATCGTAAAAACACTAAACAGAACTCAGGCGCGTTATATCTTATAATCACTGATAAAAACTAATTAAAGTATCCTAGAATCACTTATCAGAAGGCGTTATTTCCTATAATCACCATTGAAAAAGTGTCAAGAACTAAAATCTCCTATTAGAAGACGTTAAATTTTAAAATCGTCGATCAAAAAACGTTAGATTATATAACCATTGATGAGAAAATATTAAATGCCATAATCATATCCTATAATCACTTATTATATGATGCTAAGTCTTTATTTTTTTTAACTTACAAAAATTAAGATAGACGTTAAAATTAAGATAGACGTTAAATTAATAAATATGATAAATATAACCATCACAAAAATTAATGAAAATAAATATTTAGCACAAAGATGTAAATGTATTAAAATGGTTTTTTTTTTTTGTTTCACTCAAATTTTAATTAAATTCTTTTAGATTCTCAAAGTGCATGGTTCATGAATGTTGAAAATGAATTGGAGAAACAAATTTAAGTATCATTTAATTAGAAAACATAAAATTTAAGAATCATTAATTAGATAACATTAAATTTAAGAATCATTAATTAGTAGACATTAAATTTTGAAACTATTGATTTAAAAGATGTTAAATTCCATAATCACTAATCAGATGATGTCAAATTCTTAAATCACTAATCAAAAGGTGCTAAATCCTAAATAAATTATACCATTTAATTTTTTATATTTATAATTTAAAATTTTGAAATTTTTACTTTTCCTGGTTTTTAATATGATGATAAACATATTATAATATTTATTTATTTATTATTAGAATTTAATAAAGATAACCATTAATTGCTTATTATCAATCCAAATACTAATAATATTTTTTTCCTGGCTTTTCTTCATTTCTCTTCTCTCCGTTTTCTCGAAGCTTGTATTTGAATTAATGACACATGTTATAGGTTAAAATAAATGGTTAAGATTTAATTTTTCAAAATAAATCTCTAACCATGATTTAGTTAATAAATATATTACATATCAAGTATCAAAATTGTTATAATCTCACAATTTTAACATCATATTATTTTATCCATAAATATAGGTAAAAAAAAGTTTTCTTACTATTGTTTCTTTTTACGTAGGATCTTTTTTTATTTTTCTTTTATATAATATTTTTTATCTAATTAGAAGAATAATTAACTGAATAGAAGTATAAAAACTATAATTAACCTGCCGTATGTACTGTATCACCGTATTCTTAACCTTATTATGAAATTAAAATTAGTTTGTCAAAATGATTTAATTATCTCTAGATAATTTATCAATCACGGACAGACATACTTTCAACAAAAAGATTACAATAAAAATATTACATAAAAGAAAAATAAAAAAAAGATCCCGCGTAAAAAGAAATGATAGGAAGAAAACTTTTTTACATAAATAACATGGATGAAATAATATGTTGCTAAAATTGTGAGATTATAATAATTTGATCCGTGATATATAATATATTTATTAACTAAATTATGATTAGAGGTTTACTTTGAAAAATTAAATCTTAACAATTTATTTAAACCTATGACATGTATCATTAATCCAAATAAAAACTTAGGAAAAATGAAACGGAGCCGGCTCGTAATATTTTCTCAATTGTTTCATGGTAAAAAGGGAAAAAATATATATACAAATGAAAATAATATCAACGACAATGACATCTAACAACTTATAAGGTACAATTTGTTAAAAAATCACTATCATCGCATATATAATATTTACTAATTCGATTAATTTATATTCGTATGGTATAAAAAAAATTTTAAAAAATCCTTTTATCATTAGAGGTGAATTATTCTCATTGAATTTTCTAAATATATTATAAGATAAACTTTTTATTGCAATATGGTCTGAAACCCTTCCAATTTATATGCAAAATTTCAACTACACACTCTAATTTTACGAGTGTTCTATTCCCCAAAACTTTATATTGATCTATTTTCTATACACCTAAGTGCTGACCTGTCATGGGAGATATTGTCACCGCCTCTAGACGCGTCAGAAGCAGAAATTTAACGAAAAATTTCTTCTTCTCCGCTTGTCCCCACTTATTAAGAATTTTTTGAAATTCGAAACTAGTAAAATATTATTAAGTTACTATTTTCTAGTGATGTTGATAGCAACTGCTAAAACCTTTGTCTCCAAGGAATTTATTGTCACTATTTATTTTATTTTTAGCCTTTTTGGTCGGTTATGTTTAATATTTATATTAAAATTTAATTAAATTTGAATTGGTATAAAAAAATTTAAAATAAATAAAGCATTTTTTAATGAAGATGATGATTTCGTATTCGAACTAAATTCAAAATTTTAAATTAAAAAATACTTATCACGTTATCATAACTGGAATCGATTTATTGTACCACTCACTAGTGGGAAATACTATTTTTTTCTTTTTTGATGTTGAAAGGGAAATTATTTCAAAACTTAGTCTCCAAGGAAAGCTCCACCACATGGGAAAAAAGAAAAATGAACAAAGAACATTCTAGAACATATTAATTATACACACTAATAAAAATAATTTTGATATTAAAATTCATATATTATGAATTGTATTACTATATTTTTTAAAAATCACAACATGCACATAATTTCTCTCTTATAATAATATATAAATATAATTTCTCTTATACAGATGAGAGTTTGAAAGTATTGATGTATTTGCTTTAATAAAGATAATTTTTTTTTAAGAAATTTTTTTTCAAAGGTTATCATTTAGCTATAACGTTTAGTTTTAAATTTATATTTTTTAAATTATATCTTTATAATTTTGAATATTGATAATATTTCTATATATTTTAAGTTAAAAATTAGATAGAACGAAAAAATTGCTTTAATTATGGACATTTTAATAAACCTTTTTAGCCCAAAAAAAAATCTTCCATTACACATTAGTATAATTTATTTTTGAGTAAGAACTCATTTAAGTAAAACAACTTAAACTTTATAAATATTAATAATATTCATTAAATATTTATTTTACGCTTAATGAAATAAATAAATATCGTTTAATTTATATCACTTAAAAATAAATTTGTGAGCAAATATTGAATTTATGCCAACGTGAGGTCTTTGTGACTGTTACTTCTTTGTCGCTAATTATTTGTCTATTTTTTTTAATTATAACTAATTACTTGTCCAATTTTATAAATAAAGAAAAAACAGTTCTTTTTTTTGCATATTTACACCCTTAATTAATTATTTTGAAAAGGGTAAATCATTTTGAAAATCTGTTTTTAATTCATCAACTTCATGATTAATAAAGGTATCATATTAATCATAAACTCACTATGTTAATAATTATTTTTTTAACACACATATTAACACAAAATAAATAAGTAATAAGGGGGGGGGGGGGAGCAATTGATTTTAAATCATTAATCAGAAATTTGGTCGAAAGAGTTATTGATTTTTGAATAATTTTGCAAAATTAGTTAAGTGAAATTATTTTATCCTAGTACTTTGTCCATTAAATGAATATTTACTCATTTAATAAGCATTAATGATGGATGATTTCGATGAGACGAATGTTTTATTACGAAGAAGTAAATTTAAAAAATATTAATGAATTTTAAGATTTCGATTAGATAACTCTCCGTTTATCTTGTTTATTATTTTTTTACTTGTTTATATTGACAAATAAAAAAATGATAATTTCCTAACCTATTACATTCTTAATTAATTACGTAAAAGAAATAATTTTTTTAAAAAAATTTAAATTTTTAATTTATCTACTTCATAATTAATAGTGATAGAATGATAAACTTATTATATTAATTTTTTTAAATATGTATATTAATTTAAAAGTCTATTAGTAATTTTAGACAGAGGAAGTACATTTTAAAACCTTTTGGGAACCATAATATAACAAATATAATAAAATTAAACACAAGAATTAATTTTAAAACCTTTTGGTAACCATAATATAACAAATATGATCAAATTAAACACAAGAATTAATTGAAATATAATAAAATAAATACAAAATTAAAGACGTTCAAGATGGAGGCTAATAAAACCTTTTATTTTTCTTTAGGCCCTCAAAGTTTTGGTTTAGGCAAAATTAAAGTTTTTCAAAAAATAAAAATAAATAAATAAATAAAGAATACCTAACCTTTAATGATAATAATATTTAAAAAATTTAATTAAATTATTCAAATTTTTGCGTTAAAACAAAAGCTTTCCACCTCATTTTAAAGCGTTAAATAAATAAATACATTTTTTTAAAAAAAAAATAGTTGTTGAATAAATAATTTCTAATTTTTATTAGTACTAAATTCAGCGATGACTAATATCTTATCAAAGATAAATAATAATATTATTGTGAAATCAAAATTTAATTATTCGCATGATAAAAAAAGATAGATAATATTAATATTTTTTTTAAAAAATGAATCTTTTATTTAATATTTTACTTTAGATCACTATTTTTATTACAATATGAATACGATCATAAGCTATTTATAATTTAAAGACAAGCTCTAAAGAAGTTTTAATATAAAAAAAAATATATCATTCTTATTAGTACATAAAAATGATCATTTTTTATTTATAACAATTAATCCAATAGAACATTACAATAAAACTATTGATACATAAAATGAGCATTTTTATCAATAACAATTACAATAGTACATATATTCTGAACTATCATAAATGGTATTCATATATTCTCCATCATACTTTAGACTGTCTAAAAACTAAAGCATATATATTTTTTATATTAACGGACATACACGTGTCATAATCTTATCAGCCGATTCGACTCTTATTAAATATCGAATCGACGAATAAGATTGTGCCATGTGCTCCTATTCAGTCATCCGTCAGAGTAAAAGGTATATATGCTCTAGATTTTGAACGGAAAGGACACCAATGTCCCAGAAATATGACGGAGAATATCTGCATACCACCTACGATAGTGAGAATCAAAACAAATCTCTTAAAGAGTTCTGTCACTGTAGTAGCAGAAAGAAACAATTATACTGCTATGGATTGTATGGATATTCTTTGAGAGACTTGAGCAAATATTTGCTAGCCACCTTCTCAGCCATTTTTTGGTTTCGTCCCGAGTTCGAGTCCTTGTGAATAACACCATTTGCTTCAACCTCTACTGTAACATATACTATACCATTCTCACGAAAGACGACATTCTTCTGCTTTATATAACCTTTCTGGTGACATAGTTCGCGTAACTCTCTTGCTGGATGGACTTTTAGCGTCTGAGGTGTAATCAACGGTTCCAAAAGAGGTCGTATGCACAGAAATGTAGTGTCTTGGTTGAAACCAGAATCAACAAATATCGCACCAGCAAGGGACTCGATAACATCTGCAAGCACCTATACAGAAAACACGCGTAACAAATTGGCTTATGATAAAGACCTTTCAGTAACATATGAGTAAACTATGTAATACCTTCGGGTAAGTAGTTTCAGCCTCCCATCCGAATGTGGACACAAGGTTCAATTTCTTGAAATCCTCGACAGTACTAGATATATGCCTTTGCAGAACTTGCAGGTCATAAAGAATGTGATCGTGCAGGCCAGCCTTAACTGCAGATAGAGCATAACATTCATTGTTTACAGAGGCAGACCTCAAATCAGTAATAAGTCCTGGAGTTAGTCCCGGATATTTGAAATAGAGATGTGTTGTAACAACGTAATCTAGCACTGCATCTCCGAGAAATTCCAAGCGCTGCAAAGCCAGATGATCATATATATCAGAACAACATCAAGATGGATAATATTTACATACAGGAATAACGTACCTTATAGCATCGTGGAATGTCAGGTAGCATGCAAGATCCATGACTTAGCGCTTCAACAAGCAGAGAAGGATCATTGAACTTGTAATGTAGCAGGGATTCCAAGTATCTGACGTTAACTAGCTTCTCTGCATTCACGGGTAAGTGCCTTGACGTAGGTGCATCAACAAAATTGATGTCCACTCCAAGCCATTTCATAAATGACAAAGCCGCTACTTCCCCACCCGAGCTGAGGTAGGCACCTATTAGTGCCTCGACCACATCAGCCATTATCTTACTTTTAATCTTCTGTTTTCCCCTACTATACATTTTAACTGAGGACGTTAGTAGCTCTTCGTCGAAGTTGTGAACTTGAGAATTATCACCAGGAATAATCCATGCTTTAAGAACGAATGGTTTATTACGGATAAATCCCTGTAATCCAAGGAACTTATTGAAGGGAAAACCAAAAGAAGAAATGGAGTTGAACACCAAGGAATACCTACCGGCATTTTACGAGCACATCCAAGCCTGCATAGTGTAGCGTTGGAAATGATTTGTTTTCTCTTAACGGTGAGAAGACCTTGATGATCATTTTCATAAGTCTTGAACAGCTTTATACTGGCAGCATATTTGAGAAAGGAGTCTCCAAGTGTCTCAAGTGATTCCAAATGAAACTTCTCGAGACAATTCTTCGTTGTCATTGCTTCCAAAATCTAAAATAGTAAAACAAAAGAGTAAGTTGCGAGTACAAGATTATGTAAAAGCTCACAGCTTAAGAAAGACTGATTAATTAGAGCAAAGATCACAGCAGCACATACCTTAGCAGTTGGAATAACAACATTTTGTGTGCAGTGATCCAAATGCATTTTTTTCAAGTTTGAGGCCATAATCAAGGACTCAATCCGATGCATAATCGAAGGAACATATGAATAGGTATTAAGGGTAGATATAAAGAGAGGTGACATGATGAGGGAACAAAGTTCAGGAGGCAATGCAACAGATGAATCTGCGAAGAAGGCCAAAGTTAAGTGATCATAGATACGCATTAATTATAATAAAAGGAGAACCATATTATCAAACCTTTAGCTTCCTTAGAAATATGTTTTCCCCTAAGAAGTGGTACTTCTTCAGAGCATATGTTGATCCCATACCTGTAAACCACACCTTACTTACTATTTTGAAACCAAAATATGATATATGGAAACAGGAAATCAGAAGCTAATTGCACAAACCGCTTTCTGTAGTGTTCTCTGTAGGTAATAGATTCTTCACTTCTCACACCCATTAATGAGTTGCAATCCAAATTCTCCAAAAAACCGTTTATGCAGTATATACGTCCATTATGAGGTGTACATACCAATGAGTTCTCCAACATGCAGCTACATACCACCTCACTTATGGTGTTCACACTGCATCTGCGACCTTGAGTAGAACACCAATCCATATGCTTATCCCCAAGAACTTGAGACGGAAACAGCAAAGAATTCACATATTGCCAATTTATTTCGGGGGGTGTACCCACAGATGGGAGCAACAGATAATCGGATACTGCAGAACCAATAGGTGATTGAACAGCAGCCAAAACTTCCTGCAGTTTACTTAGATCGGGGTCACGAAGAATTCTGAAGACACTCACTTGAAATCTTTGACACCGTCGAATCTGAAGAGATAGATCAAAAAGGTGGAGTTCACCAACCATTTTTACAGGTAACGAGTAAAAAGATGATAAAAACCATCTCACCTCTTCAGAAGTAAATATAACAACTTTCCTATAATTAAGTTGAACTTTCAAGCGTCCCCATACCATTTTTACAGGTAACGAGTAAAAAGATGATAAAAACCATCTCACCTCTTCAGAAGTAAATATAACAACTTTCCTATAATTAAGTTGAACTTTCAAGCGTCCCCTCCTATCAACATCCAAGTCAAATGCCAATATTTCATCATCAAACTTGAGCTTTGTCCTAACAGCAAGTATAATCCCATGAAGCTGGGAATCGTTGTAAGAGTCATGTGGCAACTCAACTAGGTAGCAGTAGTACACTGCTTCTGACTCATTCCCGCAATGACTAACAAATTCTGATGGATAGTATAATGATTGTTCAACAATTTTTATTTTACATTCTGCATAATATAATAGGTTAGAAGTCAAGTACCATAGTTTTAAAATAATTACATCAGATAAACGATGTTAGAATTACCCAATTCTTTGTTGATGGTTTCTTCCTCCACGATATCAGGAACAAGATTGTCAGTCAAGGCACCCACACGATGAAGTTGTTTACAAGCTTCAAGGCATGCAAGTTGCTTCAATATTTTTCTCTTCCCCTGTACGCTAATAATTCCTTGCAGTGGCGAGCTTTTGGGAAGTTGTAGCGTGCAGGTTTCTGTTTCCTCATTAATCACATATGTAGGATCGGGTTTAAAGTACCTACAATTGAATTGAATGCCAGACCATAATGCAATATTTAACACATGAAATACTCAATGATACCAGAATCCTCAACACATAGAAAGAGAATATGCAGAGTACAAACCCATCCGACGGTAGCCTTGAGCAATAGAAGTCTAACAATGACACGCTAGAACTGAGGGTGACAACTGCTCCTGTGCTTTCAACTTTGTAGCATTCATCATACAATTCATCATGTAGAGTTGAACACGGAATAGAAGCATGGCGTAATGATTCTTGCCGCATTATCTCCACACTAGCTTTATAGTTTTGCATGCGAGTAAGGGTTGCATCATCTCCTCTAGGATATGAGTCAAAATGAGAATGATCAGTCCATTTTTATAATCAAATCTTCCGAATTTTATCATTGATACTTGCATAAAATGTCAAGAGCTAAAGTAATTGTTTATCTCTTAGATTCTTCTAAAAAAAATCATTTTGATCTTTTTATAGCAAAAACATAACGCAAGCGGCAACAACAAAAATAGAATGTTTCAGTAAATAATACACCAAAAACAATAATGACAAAACATACTTCCTGACCATCAGAATGAAGTCGGAGTTTTGCATTCGAGCTCTTCCACGTGATTGTATAAAGCTACAAACAGTAGTTGAGGGATCAAATCTAATGACAAGGTTGCAACTTCGAACATCCAAGCCCTCTTCAAGAATCGATGTCGCTACAATAATGTTCACCTGCAGTGTTTGCATGGATATCAGACTTCAAATCCTTCAGAAACTATCTAGAAAGCCAAAAAAAACAAAAACAAATTTAGACTTACCAACCCCTTTCGAAATTCTTCAACAATTTTATTTTGTTTGAACGTAGTAATACGCCCTGTTGTGACCTCAGTTCTCCAACCACTTCGTTCCAGAAACAACTCATTCAATAGAGACCGAAGAACAATGGCTGTAATAATTCTCTCAACAAATATGATGCATCTCAAATCCTTCCGGTCCCTGTTACCAATGATAAGACTGTTTGTAAGTAAATCAGTAAATATAGAATCCGATTTCCACACATTAGAATGGATAATCACACCTGTACTCGAGAAGAGACTCTAGAAGACAATTAACTTTGGATGACAAATATCCAGCATCCACATTTGCCTGAATATCCTTTCCAATTGACCAATGTGGTCCTATGTTTACACGGACGAGTGAGTGAGTGACGTATAGCAGAAGGAAATCCAAAAACAATCTTACAGAAAAGGAAATGGATGCAGTTAACTATGATACCAGAAGGTAAGTGAGCCGAGAAAATCGTAGATGCACCCAAACAGAAATCTCTAACACATGCATCGTCCGATGAAAGGAAATCATTTTCTTCACAGGACTTGTCCACCAAATTCAAAACAAAGTCATGTTAGGAAAAGGATCAAGGCGAAAACGTTTATTTTTGAACCAGCAAGGAACAAAATTTACCTTGAAAGCCAGCCAAGCACCCATCTCACTCAAACAAAATAAGAAATTCGAATGAAGTTTTGATAAACGTCTTCTTGCAGATCCATCTCTCATAAAAGACAGATTTGACTGTGAAATCAAACATTCATGCTGCAATGATAAAGAGAAGTTAAATCAACTAATATGTTGAACAAGCCAACGTGATTGCCCCAATTGCTACATTAGTAGTCTTGGTATTCTTACAAGGCACTTTCGGTTTTCAGGTTGCACACAATTATAGAGAAGGAACAAACATAAGCTTAATGATAATTGATATCTTTAGAGCAGGACGAATCATTTGCGCGAACAATCTTCAAAATAGAAAGACAAAATCCAGTGGCTATACAATTGATGTTTACCTTTTCTTTCAACCTTTCCAGGTCATGAACTAATGTCTGAAACAATTTGGAAGGAATATCCACATGTTCATATATTTTCAGCTTCGGATTTGAAAATGGGATATAATCCGCCAGAACAGATTCACTGCTACACGTGTATACCTTCATTTGCAAAGGGAGATCAAAATTAGAGGAACGAAATATATACATCTAAATGTGTGTGTATGATGTAAAAACGATATGACAATCATCCAAGAGCTAAAAGTATCATGCTTGCACAGATTCGTTCTCTGAACCAGAAGAAGATTAATTGAGAGAACCTTGGAATGCATGAGATTCTCGAGGTCACGAATCTTTTGCCAATAACTATCTGCCGTGCTAGAACCTGCATAAAAAGTATAAACATGAGAATCTAGAGAAAGTGACGTAAACAGTTCTTTAATAGTATGATGCAGAAACATCCCAAAAGAATATGTTCAAAGATATAAGATCAAATCCCGCCAACCTTTAGACTTTATAGGGGAAGCAGTCATCCCAAATATTCTTGGAAGTTGTGCATTCTCACGAGTCAACTGGCGATGATAAAATTCCTGAAAGATAAGAATTGTTGAAGCAGGATTGTCCATATGAAGAAATTGCACCAGTTCAGAAAATATAATCTTAGCACAAACAATGTTACCATCATTATACTGGCATAGGGGTGCTTGCCTCGTGCATTGTGACACTCGTCAAATATTATAACTTTTATCATGCCCATTTGTAAAAAACTGTGCCTCAAAGCAGCATGTAATATTGCTGGTGTCATAACAAGTACCTGAGAGACGAAACCCTGCAGTGATTACTTATGACACATCCAAGTAATATATATACAACACCTATTCGCTGCCAACTCAAGCAACAGTTTATAATCTACCAACTCAAGCAACGGTTTATAATCTATCACTGAAGATAAAACATGGTTCATACACACCTCATGATCGTCCACTAGTTGTTGCCATGTAGCAGCATTCCAGTAATCAACACCCTTTTCTCCCCAATATTTGCCCACTTTTAAGTCGGTATGCAACATCAGAGCATCTCCTTGCTTATAATTATCAAATCACAAGATCAACAACATTAGGATAATTCATATACACAGTTTAGAACCTAAATCCAAGCTATCTCAAACATATAACAACAAACTGCATTACATATACACATTAAGATGATGAATTTTAAGGGACTAGATAGCTTGAGAAGCTATAAGTACTACCTGAGTCACTAGAACAACAGTCGGAACCAAGAAAACAGCTATGTAAGGCGACGGTTTACGAAGAAGGGAAGCATAGCTTCTAAGAAGCATGATAGCAATCAAGGTCTTTCCAGAACCAGTCTCCAAGTAAACAATTGTGTTCTGCTTTAATGCAATCTCAAGGGCTTCCAACTGATAACTACATAACAAAATCAACACATTCATTACAAAATTTCATATTTTTTTTTCGAATAAAATTTCAATTTTTCAATCAAATATAAGACTCTAACCTTCTTGCAAAAGGCAAAGGGTCAGCAGAGAGGTGTTGGTTTTCAAAGACTGCTACATCTGTTGACTCCATTGATTGTTCTCTACATTAACATCAGACCAAACAAAACTAAAAATGAAACACAAACCCTCCAAGAAAATGACAAACCAACCTATTTTTATCTATTAACATTTCAAGAAAATGCATAAAAGAGTGATCTTTATGAAAAACAAAACATATAAACAGTCAGCTGACTCCATTTATTTTGCTAAACAAACATAAAGACACCAACTTACAAGGGTCAAAAGAAAATACACAAAAGAAAAAACAATTTCTAAGAAAAGTACACATATCAAATTATAAAAAAAAAACAAGATTTTTGTAAGTAAAATAACATGTAATCAAAGATTTAAACACCCTTTTCATAAAAATGCATAAAAAGAGTAATCTTTATGAAAAAACTCACTGACTAGAGTTGAATTGCAATAACTCTTTGAGTGTTCTTCAGTGTTCAGTGATGAAAGAAATAGTTTTTATTTATTAGTTTATATAATTAGAAGAAAAATACTTTTAGCTTATTATACAGGAATCCAATTTAGAGTTGAGCTAAAAAATGTTTATTTTTAAAAGCATTTTTCGAAGATAAATTTTTTCAAAAAAAAAAAATTGTATGTGACTAATTATTTGATAATTATTTTGATTAGCTAATTGTGTTTGACTAATTTCTCTTTAGAAAAGTACTCAAAAAGACAATTATGAAGGTGTTTTTCATATTAAGATTATATAATAGATAGACACTATATTAAATATCTATTATTAATTTTATTTGCTAAATTACAATATATATTTTCATATTTTGAAATAATATAATATTCTTTTGTTTCAATTTATATGGCATAATTTTCCTTTTGATCAATTCAAAAATAATGTCACATTTCTTTATGCGGTAAGTATTAAAGATAAAATTCCTTTTTTATCCTTTGTTGGTTTCACTTAACGTTAAAAATAATATTCTAAACCTTAATAAGGAGAGAGAAAAGTAAATTTACTTTTTTGAGAGATAATTTAAAAAACATTTCAAAGTGTTCATTATATCTTAAAATCTGTATCTAATCAAATATTATAATATAAAATGAAAAGAAAAAAATACACAAATAAATAAAAATAAATTAAATATTGAGAGACCTATTGAAACTTAGTCTCCAAGGAATCAATTGTCAATACTCACTAGTGGAGAATACTATTTTTTTTCTTTTTGATGTTGAAAGGTAAAACTTGGTCTCCAAGAAAATAACATAGACAAAACAACTTTCTAGAATATACTCGCTCGATCTGGTTTTATTTGTCATAATTTTTATTTTTTAGAGTTAAATTATATAAAAATTGATTAATATTTTAAGATGTGAAAAAATTGCAATATATAGTACTTTTCATATAGTTTTAGAATATCTAAAAATTACATAAATTAACACATTTCAAAAGATAATTACCGATTTTAGCGATATTTTTTGTTTATTACCATTTATAACAATGCTTTGTCAAATCTGTAATATGTATTAAAATGAATTTTGTATGCAATATATATGAATTATAATTGTTTTTTGAAATATATTATGTTTGTTTGGTAAAAATTTGACACATTGTATTATAAGTGTATTAAATTGTGTGATAAATGTATATTCATCATTAAAATTTGTATTATATGTGAATAACAAATTATTCTTTGTAATATGTATTAAACTTGTATTATAAATGAATTAAAAGTGATCAAGTGAAAAGAAAATATTATTGTTATAAATGGTAAATATTTTTTTATTATAGTATATTTATGTAAGTTTTCTATTTTTTTTTGTTTAAAAATATCGAATTAGTGTGATCTAATTTAACTTCAAAAATTAGCTAAATTGACTTTCGGAAAACACAACAACGACAAACACGGAGAATATTTAATAACCAAACACATTAATGTTGATGTTATTAATTGTATTACTAAATTTTATTATATTCAATGAACTCATTTATTGATGAGCTGAATATCCTATTACAAAAAAGATAAAAAAATTTAAGAACATCAACAAATTTATGATTTCGAATAGATTATTTAACCTTTTGGAAATCATAAAATTTCAATTGATTGTTAAGTATAGGGGTTTATCCTTTATGCACTCAATTTTTGGTTTGATAATATAAAAATATGTCAAAAAATGAAAAATAAATAAATAAAGACTACCTGCTTTTTTTTAATAGTAAAAATACTTCTAAAACTTTAAAATAAATTACTGAAAAATTATATATTGGAAAATAATTTCTGCTATAACAGAAACCTTCTAGCTCATTTTAAAGCGTTGGAAGAGAAATAAAACATTCTAGAGTTTACTGTTATGGTAGCGATTTCTAATTTTACTAGCACAAGATCGTATAGTATAAACATCAAAGACGACAAAAAAGATACGCGATCCTAATAATTAAGAAAAGTTAAATTTTTTTTTGTTGAAATTTTGCTTTACAACACTAGTTTTATTGAAAGGACATAGTTAACATACCCGTAAACATTAAATAAAAAGTTATTTATGATCTAAAACGAGCTCTATGAGATACGACTTCTAAATATATTAAAAGAACATATCATTCTTATTGGTACATAAAATGATCATTTCATTCATAAGACTGATATGAATAGTACATTACAACAAATTTATAACTAAACAATCAAAACAAACAACTTATATGAGCCTTAAAAACTAAACATTTCTGCAAATTTATGCTATGCATTGTATGAACATTCTTTGAGAGACTTGAGCACATTTTTGCAAGCAACTTTCTTGGCCATGATTTTGTCTCGTCCCGAGCACGTGCTCTTGTGAGTAACACCATCTGCATCAATCTCCACTGTAATATAGGCTACACCATTCTCACGAGAGACGACATCCTTCTTCTTTACGTAGCCTTTCTGGTCACAGAGTTCACTTAACTCTCTTACCGGATGGGGCTTTAGGGTCTGTGGTGTAACTAACGGTTCTAAAAGTGGTCGTATGCACTGAAATGTAGTGTCTTGATTGAAGCCAGAATCAACAAAGATCGCACCAGCAAGGGACTCGATAACATCTGCAAGTACCTAGAGAGAACCACAAAGGAAAGAACAAGTTACAACGCGTAAATCAGTATCAAATTGGATTAGTTTTTGGTATGCAATACCTTAGGGAAAGTAGTTTCAGCCTCCCATCCGAACGTGGACACAGGGTTCTTGAAATCCTCAATAGTATTACATATCTGCCTCTGCAGATCCGGTGAGGCATGAAGGATGTGCTTGTGCAGGCTAGCCTTTATTGCACATTGAGCATAGCATTCGTTGTTTACCGAGGCAGACCTCAAATCTGTTATTAGTCCTGGAGACAGTCCCGGATATTTGAAGTACAGATGTGCTGTAACGACATAATCCAGTACTGCATCTCCGAGAAATTCTAACCTCTGCAATATAACCAGGTGATCATATCAGCAAAAAGGCATAAATACTGTAACTTTTTCGCGAGTTAAACATCACAACTATTAGTTGTTAATTCCCTTTTACTACCTGAACAATGATAGGAATAGGAATATTGAACTTAAGAGTACGATCTAAAGAGAGTGAGTTCGAGAATAACCTGATAGCATCGTGGAATCTCAGGCAGCATGTAAGATCCGTGAGTAAGTGCTTCAACAAGGAGAGATGGATCATGGAACTTGTAATGTAGCAGGGATTCCAAGTACTTGACATTAACGAGCTTCTCAGCATTCAATGGGAAGTGCCTTTGAATCGGTGCATCAGCAAAATCGATGTCCATCCCTAGCCATTTCATCAATGATAAAGCGGCTACTTCCCCGCCTGAGCTGAGGTAGGCACCTATTAGTGCCTCAACCACATCAGCTACCCTCTTACTTCTAATCTTCTGCTTTATCCTACTATACATCTTATCTGAAGACGTCATTAACTCTTCGTTGAAGCTGTGAACTTGTGAACTATCACCTGGAATGATCCATGCTTGAAGAGTGAATGCTTCGTTACGGATAAATCCCTGTAATCAAATAGTATATATTAGAGATATGGGGTTGATACTACCCAAACTCCAAATGAACCCAACAAAAAGATCAACAAGGAATACCTACCGGTATTTTGCGAGCACATCCAAGCTTGCACAGTGCAGCATTGGAAATGATTTTACTTTTTTTAACACAGAGAAGACCCTCGTGATGATTCTCGTGAGTCTTGAACAGCTGTGTACTGACAGCATATTTGAGGAAAGCGTCTCCAAGCGTTTCAAGTGATTCCAAATGAAACTTCTCGAGACATTTCCTTGTTGTCACTGCTTCCAAAACCTAAAATGATAAAACAAGAAGTAAGTTGTGAGAACACGTGAAGTATGTATGAAGTTCAAAGATATGAGATAAGATCATAGCAGCACATACCATAGCAGTTGGGATGAAGACGTTTAGTTTGCAGTCATTCAAAAGCATACTATTTAAGTGTGAGGCCATAACCAAGGACTCAATCCGATGCATGATTGAAGGAACATATGAATACGTATAAAGGGTAGAAATAGAGATAGGTGACATGATAACAAAACAAAGTTCAGGAGGCAACTGAACAGATGAATCAGTTGAATCTGCAAAAGAGACCAAAGCTAAGTGATCATACGTAATTCGTGAACTTCATAACAAAATGAGAACCAAATGATCAAACCTTTAGCCTTCTGAGTTCTGTTTCTCTGAAGGTAATTGTGCACTTTCGAAATACGTTTTCCACTAAGAAGTGGTTCTTCAAAGCATAGTTCGATTCCTTGCCTGTAAAACGCGCAGACCTTAATATCTTGAAACCAAAAGATCATGTATGGTAAAAAGTGAACCAGAAACTCAGAAGCTAATTGTACATACCGCTTTTTGTAGTATTCTCGGTAAGTAATGGATTCTCCAGTTCTCACATTCAACAATGAGTTGCAATCCAAATTATCTAAAAAACCGGTAATGCAGTATATATTGCCATTATGAGGTGTAAAGACCAATGAATTCTCCAACAGGCAGCTACATACCACCCCAGTTTTGGTGTTCACACTGCGTTTACGATCTTGTGTAGAACACCAATCCATATGCTTATCCCCAAGAACTTGTGACGGAAACAGCAAAGAATTCACGCATTTCCAGTTTATTTCAGAGGATTTACCCACAGATGGGAGCAAGAGATAATCGGAAACTGCAGAACCAATAGGAGATTGACCTGCAGCCAAAGCGTCCTGCAGTTTACTCAGATCACGGTCAAGAAGAATTTTGAATACACTAACTTGAAACCTCTGACACCTTCGAATCTGGAGATAGATAGATAGATAGTATCACGAATCATTTTTACGTGTA